GCTTTTGGCCATGTTGCTTTACCATAGCAAAATAAAGAAGAAACTAGAACATGGGCCCTCTTTTTTATGAAATTGCTGATTTTCAGGCTGGAGATACAGCTCAAGCTGGACCCCATGGTGTGCATCTGTAACTCGTGTCACTGGCGGGGATAGAGACAGGCAAATCCTTGGAGCTCACTGTGCAGGTGTCCTAGACCAATCAGTGAGCCCCAGCTTCAGTGAGAATCTGTTTTTCAAAAAAAGCAAGGTTGAGAGTAATAGAAGAAGACACACAAGGTTGCCTCTGGCCCCCACACAGGTGCACACACACCTGCATGCATGTCTGCACCCACCCACATAAATTCATGTACATTACACACACACTGCTTAGCTTCCTCCTCGCCATCACCGTCAAATGAGAACACGTTTCATTGTAAACCCCGGAGATTTGAATGGACTCCAGTGGTACCAGGCCATGGTTCAGAAGAGGGTTAGGCCAGTGGAGCCAGTCTTTAGGGGAGAAGCGATTACAAATCTGGCGGTGCCATGCATGGCTGTTTGGCCAAATGCCTGTGGCATCAAAGTTGTGACTCTCTTATCACCATTTGGCAAGCCATCACCATTCCTTTATTACATCATAGGTAGTAAACTCCTATCACGTGGGATGCAGCTGGTCTGTGAAGGAATTGCTCTAGAACTTCCCTGCTCTTGAGTTGCTTCCAGGTTAATAGAGGCATGAGGTGGGCTCACAGGAACATGGAGTGACCTCCAAACCAGTGAATAGACAGTAAGTTCAGAGAACTGTTCATAATCCTGCCATTCAGCAATTTAAAAAAATCACCATTGTTTTTGTGGGTGGTTGGTTGGTTGGTTGGTTGGTTTTTCAAGACAGGGTTTCTTTATGTTTTGGACCCTGTCCTGGAACTCACTCTGTAGATCAGACAGGCCTGGAACTCACAGAAATCCACCTGCCTCTGCCTTCTGAATGCTGGGATTAAAGGCATGTGCCACCAACACCTGGCTAAAAATCAACATTGTTGACATGGTGCATTTCCTTTGTTTTTTTTGATATAGTATAATTTCAGGTCATTGTTTTTATCTCCAAAAGTAAAAGTCCAGGAGCGGGAGAGACAGATCAGTGGTTAAAAGTGCATCCTGATCTTGCAGAAGATCCAAGTTTGGTTCCCAACACCCACAAAAAATCGTAGAGTGGCTCACAAATGATTGTAACTCCAGCTTCCGGGGGATCCACACAAACACATAAATAAGAATAAATCCAAGTAAACAACAATAAGGACTTTTTTTTTTTTGAAGTGAGAGCCAGAGGGAGGGCTCATTGGTTAAGAGCACTTGCTCTTGCAGAGGATCAGTGTTTAAGTCCCAGAACCTACATGGTGGTTCAAAACCATCTGTAACTGCAGTTCCAAGGAACCCAATTTTCTCTTCTACCTCTGAAGAACCAGACGTAGACAGATATACAAACTAAACATACAGACTAAGGCATTCTTTAAAAATAATGGACAGGTGAGATGGCTCAGTAGATAAAGGTGTTTGCCACCTAACTGATAACCTGAGTCTAATCCCCAGGCACCACATGGTAGACGGAGCTAACCCACTCTTTTTATTTGTCCTCTGACCTTCATATTGCACCATGACACATATATACCCCTCACTCACCCACAGACATACTTACATATACCCCTCACACACACAATGCAACATTTTTGAGACAAGGTCTCCTCAAATGGAGATCGACTTGCTTCTGTCTTCTGAGTGTTGTGAGTAAGGGGGTGTGCCACTGTGCACTATGTGTGTAATTATTTTGAAAGTAAAATGTTCAGAGACAGCTATAGTGACACACCCCTGCAATTATAGCACTCCATAAAGGTGTGGTCAGTGTTCCTTGTATATGTCAGGCAAACAAGTACTCCATGTAGTTCAATACGTTCCACATTTGTTTTCATTTTATTTTGTTATTGTTATTATTGACACAAGGTTTCTCTGTGTAACCTTGGCTGTCCTGGAACTCGATCTGTAGACAACGCTGGCCTAGAACTCACAAAGATCAACCTGCCTCTGCCTTCTGAGTGCTAGGAGTGAAGGCATGTGCAGCCACCAACCAGGCTGGTCTCAGATTTTCTAGATAGCAGCAGATAATCTTGAACTCCTAATCCCAGCTTTTTTTTTTTCATTTAGACAGAGTACCCTGAAGTTCACAGAGATCCATCTGTTTCTGTGTCTGGAGTGCTGAGATTAAAGGCGTGCACTACTATACCTGGCACATTTTATTTAATTTTTTAATTACATATTTATTTACTTATTTTTGTGTGAATATGTGTAGGCATACAGGTGCCATGGTATCTAAACAGAGATCAAAAGACAATTTGTGGGAGTCAAGTCTCTCCTTCTACCATGTCTGTCCTGAGGACCAAACACAGGTTTTCAGGCTTTGGATCGAGTGCCTTTACCCTCTGAGCCATATCAATGAACAACCCCTTCCTCTCATTCCCTGTCTTTCTGTCTTTCAACTTTTATTTCTTTTTAGTTTTAACTTTTATTTATTATTGTGGTGTGCATGATTTGTTTGTGGGTGTAGGTACTGGTGTACAACAATACATGTAGTGTGTAGATGCAGGTACAGGTGTACCACACACAATACACAATACAATAGATGTCAGAGAACAATTTTGTGCAGTTAGTTTTTTCCTTCCACCTTTATGTGAGTTCCAGGCATCAAAGTCTGGTTATCAGATCTCTGTGTCAAGTGCCTTTACACGCTGAGCCAGCCTGCCTTTCTTTGGTTTTTGTTTGCTTGGTTTTGGTTTTTCAAGACAGGGATTCTCTAGCTTTGGAGCCTGTCCTGGAACTTGCTCTGTAGACCAGGCTGGCCTCAAACTCACAGAGATCCCCCTGCCTCTGCCTCCTGAGTGCTGGGACTAAAGGCGTGCACCACCACCACCTGACAATATTTTTCATTATTTATATGTATGAGTGCTTACCTGCACATATGTGTGTATACCACATGCATGTCCCATGCCAGTGAGGCCAGAAGGGGGCATTAGATTCCCTGGAAGTGGAGTTAAAGATGGTAGCCCACGTGGGCATGTGGCTCTGGCAGGCCTTGAACCACCCCTCCCCCCCCTTGCCTCTGCCTTGCTAAAAAAGGTTAGATTACATCCCTAAAGCCAGCCACCAAGGCCCATTCCCTTATTTGGCCAATCCCTCCTGCAGAGGCTGACTACCAAGGCCCAGCTGTTAAAGTACTGAAATCCAGCAATCAAAAGCCATCTTTGGCCCACCTAATTAATATGCCCAGTTAAAGTGGGCACTTCATCCTGAGTTTCCCCTTGTACCTTTAAAAATTGCCTTTGTTTGTTTGTTTGTTTGTTTGTTTTTTCTCTCTGTGGCTTTGGAGGCTGTCCTGGAACTAGCTCTTGTAGACCAGGTAAGTCTTGAACATCCACCTGCCTCTGCCTCCCAAGTGCTGGGATTAAAGGTGTGAGCCGCCACCACCTGGCTATAAACTGCCATTTTCCTGTGTGCCATGTCTGCCTCCTCTCTGTCCAGAGGCAGTCCTTTGTCCCTCTGGGCCACTTCCCTTGTCCCTTTCCCCTTCTCCCTCTTCCTCTATCTCCTGTTTTTGTCCCTTAGCCCTGTCCCTGTGAGACAAAAGAAAATCTCCTTTGTGCTGAGAACTTGGTCCAAGAACTTGGTCTTGGGGGTCCTGTACCAATACTTTTCCTTTCACATCTGGGTGCTGGGAACTGAACCCTAGACCTCTCTGAGAGTAGTCAGTGCTCTTAACCACTGAGACATATCATTGTCCTCTTCTCTTTCTTTTTTTTATAATTTATTTTTATTTTATGAGCATTGATTGGTGTTTTGCCTGCATGTATGTCTGTGTGAGGTGTCAGATCCCCTGGAACTGGAGTTACAGGCAGTTGTGAGCTGTCATGTGGGTGCTGGGAATTGCAGCCAAGTCTGGAAAAGAAGCCAATGTTCTTAACCACTGAACTATCCCCCAGCCCCTCTCCTTCCTTTTCCTCTTTCCTTCATTTCTTTCTTTTCTTCCTTCCTTCTTTCCTTCAATCCTTTCTCTCTTTTTTTCTTCCCTTCTTTCATTTTATTTGGAGACAGGAATTTACAATGGCCTAGAACTCACTATATAACTAAGACTGGCCTTGAAGTACATATGCAACTGGAGCTGGACTTGAACTCCTGATCTCCTGCCTCCACATTCCCATTTCTGGGATTATTGGAATGTACAACAATTCCTCTCAATCCATGGTGATGCATATCTTTAATCCCAGCATTTGGGAGGCAGAGGCAGGCTGATCTCTGAGTTTGAGGGTAGCCTGGTCTACAGAGTGAGTTCCAGGACAGCCACGACTACACAGAGAAACCCTGTCTCATAAATAAATAAATAAATAAATAAATAAATAAATAAAATCTCTCTCAGTCAGTTCATTTCCCTATCCCAAGGGTTTGTGATGTCAAGCAAAGACCAGCACACACTCTTTGCTGTAGGCTTTTGAGTGGGAGGGTGGTAGATCTGTTTTCTCAGGAAGCTTGGGTGCACTAGAGACGAACAAAAGCAAGACCAGAAGGTAGGTAGGAGGTGAGTATTCTGATAGAGAATACTGAAGGGAAGGAAGTCACACTTGGAAAGAACAGGCTAAGAGCCTGGCCCATGTGTGGCCCATGTGTATAAGCCCCGCATTCTGGAGGCTGAAGCTGTGTGATCAATTTGCTGTTGACCTGGGTGGGTTACATAGTTAAGTCCAGACCATTCTGGGTTTCATTGAGAGAATAGCTTTATCAATCGCTAGAAATAAGGATAATGGGGGCCTCGTCAAAGGGAGTCCTTCTGGATGAGGCTGTCTTTAGGCACATGCAGTCTCTATTGGGCTCACAGGGTTGGTCTTGAGGACCTCTGTGAACCAGCGGGTTTCTTCCCGCGCTCGCCTCAGGAGAGCGAAGGATGCTTCCGGTTCACGGCCTCTTCCTTCCGCTTTGCTTCACGTTGGTGGTCATCACCTGTTCGGACATTTCCGGTGCCATGAGCTCGACGCCTCAGGTAAGCGGCGTTTTTGGTAGGCTTCAGCCTCATAACAGGGACCACTCCTGGGTTTTGTTTTGTTTGTTTTTCTTCCTTTTCAGAGGAGGGAGGAACCCCAAGGGACATCCAGGCAGCGCGCCCGCGCCCGGTCCAGTACAGGCCACGGGGAGATGCAGCTTGGCCGAGGAATGGTAGGGACCTTGCTTGGCCAGGGTTTGTGTTCAGTCATCTCTGTAGAAGGTTCTGGAAATGTTGATGCTTCTCTGCGCATGACCACTGGGCCACTATAGGATGGCCTTGTTGCTAGGGTACTGGAACCCACCCTTCGCCTCATCAGCAGCCGCCCAGGAAAGATGGAGGATAGGGGGGTGGCCAGGAAAAATGGGTTGTGCTTGTTTTATTTATTTCGTTTTTGTTTGGTTTGGCTTTTTTTTGTGTGTGTGTGTTTGCTTTGTCCTTTTTTTTTTTTTGAGACAGTCTCTCTGTGCAGCCTTGGCTGTATTGGAACTCGTTCTTACTCTGTAGACCTGGCTAGCCTCAGGCTTGCAGAGACCTTGTGTTTGTTTTTTGAGGCAGGACCCCATTCTGTAGTTCAGGCTGGCCCAGAACTATTGGCAAGCATTCCTCAGCCTCACAGGAGTGAGTGGTCAGCCAGCCCTGGCTTGATAAGCAATTCACGTTTTGTTGTTTTGTGGTTTTTTTTTTTTTTTGGTTTGTTTTGTTTTTGTTTTTTGTTTTTCGAGACACTTTTTCTCTGTGTTACATCCTAGAACTCACCCTGGCCTCTAACTCACAGATCCATCTGCCTCTGCCTACCCAGGGCTGGGATCAAAGGTGTGAGCTGCCATGCCCAGCTCTGGATAAGCAACTTTTTGTTTGGTTGGTTGGTTGGTTCTTGTTTTTTTGAGACAGGGCTTCTCTATACCTTTGGAGCCTGTCCCGGCACTCACTCATTAGACCAGGCTAGCCTCAAACTCGCAGAGATCCCCATGTCTTTGCCTCTAGACTGCTGTGATTAAAGATGTGCACCACCACTGCCCACCATAAGTGTTTTTCTTAATGCGCATATGTGCACCATATTCATGCTTGGTACCCCAGAGGTCAGAAGAAGGTGCCAAATCTTCTGGAACTGAAGTTATGGTGAGACTCATGAGCTGCCATGTAGACGCTGGGAGTGGAACCTGGGTCCACATAAATAAATCTAAAGCATGAATAAATACATTTAAATATGATAAGGAATGAATGAAAATGCCTGATAACATTATATATACACTTTAGCATGGACCCATGGTTTGTCTAGGGACACACTGTCAGTTTGAAGTGTCCTAATTCTACAACTCATCTTCTGGACTTCAATATATTCAGTGACACACACACACACACACCACTTCATTTCTTATGATTGTTATCAGTCAGGACAAACAGAAGCATTTTTACAAATCTAGAGCCCTATACAACTATACCGAACATTCTGGAATCAAGATGTTGTTTCTATAACTCAAAGTCAGGACTATAGTGGATTTGTTTGTTTAAGAAGATGTTTGTTGGCCAGGCATTGATGGTGCCCAACTTTAGTCCTAGCACTGAGGAGGGGGTGGGGGCTGGTAGAGGCAGACAGATCTCTGAGTTCAAGGCCAGCATGGTCTACAAAATGAGTTCCAGAACAGCCAGACCTGTTACACAGAGAAACCCTGTCTCAAAACAAAACAAAAACCAAAAGAAGCTGTTTATTTTAGAAGAGTTTAGAGTAACAGAAATACTGAGACAGTGCAAAGTGTTTTCCTGTGTCTCATACCCAGGCTACCTTAATTATGACTAGTTTATATTAGTATGGTTTATTGATCATTTTTTTTGTTGTTGTTTTTACCTCTTACTGCTTGTGGGGGGGGGCAGGGAGAGAACACTGTATATGTGGAATATCAGAAGATAACTTTTAGGAGTTTTTTCCTTTCACTGTAGAACATGGGTATTGAACTTAGATCCTCAGGCTTGCAGAGCAAGCACTTACCTACTGAGCCATCTCTCTGCTGTGCAGTCTATGCTGAATTGAATTTACAATCCTCCAGCCCCTGCCTCCTGGATCAGTTGTTAAAGCTCTTGCCTTACAAACACAAGGATTTAAATTCCAACCCCAGAACATTGTAAAAGTATCAGTTGGGGTGCCAGTTCTGAGAAGATAGTGATTAATCTCTGGGAATCGCTGTCCAGTCAGGCTAATTGGTAAGCTCTAAGCCTATGAGAGATGTGTTCCTAAGGAGGTGGACAGTGTTCCTGGGGAAACAGCTGATGTCTTTCAGTCTCCACACACATGTACATATGTGTGTGTGCTTACACACAAACACACATGCATTTTTTAAAAATGGGTATTTAGATGGGGGTATAATAGTACGTTTGTAATCCTAGCACTCAGGAGACAGAGGCAGGAAAATCAAGAGTTCAAGGCTACCCTCTGATACACAGAATATTCAAGGCCAACCTTGGCTACATGACAGGTCTCAATATTTTTTTTTAATTTTGTATCTCCTTCAAGGCCATGGATATAAAAAAATTATGTTTTTTTCAAGATGGATTCTCGGGCTGGAGAGATGGCTCAGTGGTTAAGAGCACTGACTGCTCTTCTAGAGGTCCTGAGTCCAATTCCCAGCAACCACATGGTGGCTCACGATCTGGTGTCCTCTTCTGGCAGGCAGGAATTCATGGAGTCAGAATGTTGTATACATGATAAATAAATCTTTTAAAAAGATAGATTCTCTATGTAGCCCTGGCTGTCTTGGAACTCACTCTGTAGGCCAGGCTGGCTTTGACCTCAAAGAGATCCACCTGCCCTTGCCTCCTGAGTGAGAGAATTGAAGTGGTGTGCCACAACTGCCCAGCTATTTGAAATTCTTACCCTAACTTATTTATATATACATGATTTGTGGGTATGAATTTATTATTATTGCTTTGCCTTGTTCACAGTGCAGTTTGGACCATCACAAACTCTTCCAGTTGACTTTTCCTTTTTTTTTTTTTTTTGGTGTTTTGAGGCAGGGTTTCCCTGTGTAGCTTTGGAGGTTGTCCTGGAACTTGAACTTGCTCTGTGGATCAAGCTGGCCTCAAATTTACAGAGCTCCACCTGCCTCTGCCTCCCGAGTGCTGGGACTAAAGGTGTGTGCCACCGACGCCCGGCCCAGTTGACTTTTTGTCCATATGAACTACCTACATTTTCTCTGTCCTGTTTGTTTGTTTAGCACTTGCTATTCACAGATGTTCCAGGCTCCTCCTGTCTGTTTCTTGCCCCCATCCTAGAATATACCATTTATCCTAGAACAATGTTGGTGCTAAGTAGTATTCCTAGCAGATAATGTCTGGAAGTTGGGGCACATATGGCAGGTCGGCAGGAAGAAGTTGCAACCCCGGCTGCAGCACCTTTAAGAGGACTTTCCCAGAAGTAGCAGCCAGAATAGCAAGTCCTTAGCTGAGAAATAGGTGACTCACCAGCTCCCAGGTTGTCTCCTCCCTCCCCCTCTTGCTGACAAGACTGTACCTAAACCAGCTTAGACAGAGGGACCTTGGTCAGAATGTGTCTCCACCCATGAGACCAGTGAAGAATGGCCAGTCTCAGACCAAGGCAGACATCTCCCATGTTTGTTCCATTAGTGTGTTATTTGTATGTCTTCAGAGAGGATTAAAAAATACTGCCCTCAAATGTATACCTTTAGTAGGCCTTTATGTTTTCCTTTGAGAATGGTCCTCATATATCCCAAGCTGGCCTTTAACCTGCCATGTAGCCAAGGAGACCTTGAGCTTCTGATGTTCCTGACACTACATCTTTATTATTTTGAGACAGGAGTGTGCTATAATCACTCCAGATTTATGTCATGCTGGGAATTGAACCCAGGACCTCATTGTGATACTACTGTATCACCTCAGCTATATCACCAGCCCAGTAAAGTTACTGTTAAAATCCAGGTTAAAGGACAAGAGTATTCCAAAGGGAGAGAGAAAGCGCATGCGCAAGTGCATGAGTGTATGTGTCTGTGTGTGTGTGTTGAGTAGTTTTGTCCTGACCACTTTTGCAGCATCCCCAAGATAACAGAAGGGCTTTCAGAGACAAATATCCTTTGATTTTCATTTGGCAGTGGTGAGGTGATTGGCTGTTGGAGTCACTCAGGTTAAGAGCTGAAGAAGAGGGAAGACTGAGTCTAAAATCCCCTCCCTTTCCAGGAAGACCAAGTGCACAGCCTTCGGACTTTCTAGGGCAGGATAAGGGAAAGACAACACTTAAGACACCTTTCAGTAACTCAATAAATAAGCTTATGGTGATATGTCTGAGAATATGGGGCCTTTGAGACGACAGTTAGGATCATTAGCATCTCTAGACATTTAGATAAAGGTAATGGGGGAGGTAGACACTGGAATATAAATGTGGGTGCTGGGAAGCCTACAATTTTTCAAGAGCGGTCAAGTCAGCAACTTTTTAGCCATTTCACACCCAGGCTTTTGCTTGTTTGCTTGTATTTTGTGATAGGGTCTTGAGTAGCCTTAGGGTGCCCTGTCCCTCATCATGTAAACTAAACATGCCTTGTTTTATGGCAATCCTGCTCCTTCCACCTCCCAAGTGCTGGGATTAGAGGAGTGCCACCGTATCAGGCCAGACTTAGAGAACTCTGCCCTAGTATACTGGACGTCTCCTTAGTATTCATCTCCTCTCCCCTTTGCAGTCGTGTCCTTTCCCCAGACTCAGGGATATCTGCCTGCTGTGTGAAAGTGTCTCGGTGATCTTTGTGCAGACTGAGATGAAAACTGCCTGGGGAATCAGAGGATGGATTCTGGGCCTAGTGTCACTTGCTGTGGCTCAGGCTATTCTCTCACTTGCTCTCTAGGTGACCTTCCTATGGCTACCTAGGAAGTCCTGTCTGAGTCTGTAAGTTCTTTACAGGGCGAGGACTGTAGGTGGCCCAGAAACAGCATCTGCAAATAGGTAATTATGACGTGCTTTCATGATAATGATCATATTAGGTACTGAGCAGGAGAGATGGCTCAGTAGTTAAAGGCACGTGCTGCCTTTTAGAGGACCCGAGTTCAGTTCCTATCAACTACTTAGGCAGCCTCATAATTGTGTGACTCCAGTTTCAGGGGTTCCAAGGCCCTCTTTGGTCTCCTCAGGCATTGTTCACATGCACGTATCCATACCCATGTACAGACACACACTTAATTAAAAAATAAAGACTCTATTTAAAAAGGATAACACTAGATACTTTGGGAACTTTACACATATCCAGATGCACATGGAGGGTGCTGAAGAAATGCCCAAGCAGTTAAGAGCACTCTTTGCACTGTAGAGAATGTGAGTTTGGTTCTAAGCACCCTATGGCTGCTAATAACCATGTGACCTCCATTTCCAGAGGATCTGACATCCTCTTCTGTATGCATCCAATACATAGTACATAGACATACATGCAGACAAAACGCTTACACACATTAAATCTTTAAAAAGTATTTAAAATACATTTGATAGTGAAAGTATAAAATTAAATGTGAAAATCTACACGTCTGTTCTGAATGGCTATTCTCTGTAGAAGTTCATCTCTCCAGCCCTGTGAATTTTTTTACGTGCTAGACATTAAACAGAGGGCCTCATGTATGCTAGGCAAGTACTCTATCACAGATGACATCACCTATAATATATGTGTATTATGTTTTTGTTTGTTTGTTTTGAGAGTTTCACTGTGTAGTCCTGACTGGTCTAGAACTTAACTATGTGTAGACCAAGCTGGCCTCAGACATACAGAGGTCCTTCTACCTCTGCCTCTGCTTCTGCTTCTGCCTCCCCACTGCTGGGGAAAAAAGCATGGGGGAGCTACCAGCCTAGTTATTTGTTTGAGACAGGGTCTCACATTGTAGCCCAGGCTGGTCTCTAGCTGTCTTTGTGCAACAGGGGATGGTCTTGAACTTGTGATCCTTCTACCTTCACCGCCAGGATTCTTGGATTAGAGGAATGCACCACCAGGTCAGTGGTACTGGGGATCAGACCCAGGGCTTTATACATTCTAAGCAGACACTCTGAACTATAATCTCAGCCTCACTTCCAGTAGATTGAAAGAATACTTTATTAATAAGATGTTTAATGTGCTGATGTTTAATGCACAGTATTAAATGTGTATAAAAGGGTTAATGTGATGCGTTTAATTTGAACATGCTGTATTATGGATTCTGTAGTTTGTGTCTTCCTACTAACACTAAATCATGGATCTACCAGATATCAAACGCCAGTCTTTGTCCTTGGACTTTCGTGGTGCCAGGTTTTCATATGAAAAACCTTTCTTTCCTGGATGCTTTGCTTTTTCTGAGTGTTATGCAGAGAGAAGTCCAGGTCGATGGGCGGGGTCCGGGCCACTTGGGACATGCAGATGAAGTGGGCGGGCCCAACATATATACCCTCTGCTAGCCTCTAGCGGGCGTGCCCAGCTTGGACAGACTGTCTGCCTCCTCCTGCGCAACCTGCTTCCCTGAGCGCTGCGGAGCCTGGTCCGGGCTGGCCCCTCTGCTACCCCAGGAGCGGGTCATGCCGCCGCGGGAGCTGAGCGAGGCCGAGCCACCGCCTCTCCTAGCTTCGACCCCTCCTCCACGGCGGCGCAGCGCACCTCCGGAGCTGGGCATCAAATGCGTACTAGTGGGCGATGGCGCGGTGGGCAAGAGCAGCCTCATCGTCAGCTACACCTGTAATGGGTACCCCGCGCGTTACCGGCCCACGGCTCTGGACACCTTCTCCGGTATGTTCTACTGCCTCGGGACTCCTGAGGCCGAGGTGGGGTTGTGGATTAGGGCGGGCGTGCTGGCGGGGGGCCACTGAAGACCCCGGGAGCAGGCCCGGAGGCGGCGCTGATGAGGCCTGCCTAGAGGGACGAGGATGCTGTGCCTAACTCATGCTTTCCCCTCCCCACCCCTGCAGTGCAAGTGCTGGTAGATGGATCCCCTGTGCGAATTGAGCTCTGGGATACCGCAGGGCAGGTAAGAAGCTGGGTGTAGCCTTCTTGGGTAAGGGGTTGGAGAGGGTTGGAGGCTGGGAGGATTCCTGCATGGAGTAAGAATGGAGCAGGCCTTGGGCTTTAGGAGTCTTAGGTCTCCACCCCTCAAGTGAGAAGTAGACTCCCCTTCCATTGTGAAGGGAATGATCTTGCTAACGACTGGTCTTGCCACCCCAGGAAGATTTTGAACGTCTTCGCTCCCTCTGCTACCCGGATACTGATGTGTTTCTGGCTTGCTTCAGCGTGGTGCAGCCCAGCTCCTTCCAAAACATCACAGAAAAATGGCTGCCTGAGATCCGCACGCACAACCCCCAAGCACCTGTGTTGCTGGTGGGCACTCAGGCTGACCTGAGGGATGATGTCAATGTACTAATTCAACTGGACCAGGGAGGCCGGGAGGGCCCAGTACCCCAACCCCAAGCCCAGGGTCTGGCCGAGAAGATCCGGGCCTGCTGCTACCTTGAGTGCTCAGCTTTGACACAGAAGAACTTGAAGGAGGTGTTCGACTCGGCCATTCTCAGTGCCATCGAGCACAAAGCCCGCCTGGAGAAGAAACTGAACGCAAAGGGTGTGCGTACACTCTCTCGCTGCCGCTGGAAGAAGTTCTTCTGCTTTGTTTGAGCAGTTATGACTGTGCAAGAGGTAGGCAGGTGGCCCGAGACTTCTGGACCCTGGGACATCTGGTACTACTAGCAGGGCTTTGGCCAGCCCCTGGGGATTCAGTCCTTTATTGAACACAGGGGATATGGGCCTCTAGCTGCACACTCTGGTAAGACAGGGTGAGAGCTCAGGCTTTGCAAGGAGGCTCTGACTTGGATTTCTTTTGTCAAGACTCAAAGGAAAATCCCAGCGCTTTGCTTTCATCACATCAATGTTGGTGTGTCTGAGCTGCTCGGGATGTGTGTAATTCCCAGTTTCTTACCGTGGGGCCACAGGTCAGCTTGCTTGAATGCAGGCCCATTGTGGATGTCCTCACCTTCCCCCAGCACAGGTGGGACAAAGCAGGGAAAGCTGAGGCATCTTGGAGGTTCAGAGGTTTGATTTGGAGAGGTTTGAGATGGAGGAGATTAGAGGACTGCCTGGAAGGAGAAAGAACAGGAGTGGACAGCTGTGGAGAAGGCTGACACCTGGGCTGCCCTCAAGCCCCAAGGCCAGGGAGGATGGGACTGCTCCCTGGGAAGAACTGGGTCTCAGGGCTCCCTAGGCACTGCCCAAACTGGCTGGGCCAGCAGAGGGGCAGGAAGTGAGAGTCCAGGCCCAGCATAGGGAGGGGGAGGAGCTGCAAATAAGAGCCTGAAGGAGGAAGGGGTAGGCATCATCCCTTTCCCCAAGGTCATAGCTTAGAAGGTGAACAATACAATCAGCAAATAAACCTTCTGTTTCTGAAGCTGCTGTCTCTGTGGTGGTTTCCTGGATCGCTCAACCCGATGCCCTTCATAACCTTTCTCAAGGCTCAACAGCCTGGGTAGATGGATGGGGAGCTGACTCTTGGTCGAAGGGTGGGGGCTGGATCTGATGGGACAGTGATGGGAACTGGACTATGGGGAACAGGTGTGGGGCTCCCTGCTTGGGGCTTGGCTTAGTTGGTTCCCAGGAGAACTAGCGTGGGAAGCAGCCTGGAAACGGGTTTCCCCAGGTGTCAGCGCCAGAGCTGCTTTCCCATGACCTCACCAGGTAGGTGGGGCCCTCCCCTCTTCCCCTCCTTTCTAGAGTATGATGCTCCTCAGCACTGGAGCTCTAGGACAGGCTCTAGCCCATCCTCCCATCCTCTGAACAGTCTTTAGGACCCCACGGTGTAGCTAGGGAATGTCACCCCAGCTTAAGTACCAAGGATAACCTATCCAGCTTTGAACCTCGACCTCGACCATTGGCCAAAGCGTGTAGCCTGGGGTTGGTTCGACTAGTCTTCATACATAAAGATTTATTGCAGATCAGGGTGCTGGCTTTGGACAATGTAAATAAAAGTTTGGTCCCAGGAATCCTTTGTCCATGAGAGGTCATTCATTGACAGAAGGCTTGGAGGGGAATACGAATCCAAGGATTGGAACTAAGAGGAACTTTAAGAAACATTTTGGGTGAAAACAAAACATATTTTGTCTTAAGGAAATCATGGTCTGGAGACAAAAAGGCAGTATGTCAAGTGAGATATTACCAAGTGGTTAGAGGAGCACCGTGGAGTCAGGTGTATGGTTGACATTCTATAGAAGTCTTTCTGAGGTATACCTACAATGCCTCCTAGGCACCTGCTGGGTCAGGTGAGCACACATCCCAATGTACTGGGCCTCAGGTCCCTTTCCAGGAAGTTACAGCTGTGTGTCTGTGTGTGTGTCTGTCTGTCTGTGTGTATGTGCACACACTTGTGTGCTGAAGGACAGAAATACTAGCCAAGTGAAACCTCAGGTGGTCCCAAGTTTAGCTTTAGCCAAGACTGTTCAGCATCCCTCAGAGCACCAGCCCCCCCCCTTTGTTTCCTTAGGTGGAGGTGGTAAGCCGAAGCACCACAGATACATCCAGAACCAGCTGTTACCCTAACCTAACTTGGCATACTCCTTTCTAGGACAGAGACAGACCCAGGTTCAACTTCAGAAGTTCAAGACCTGATACCCATCACCACAGGCAAATAATTTTTTAAAGTCAGGACCGAACTTCATAGCTCTGGTTGGCCTGGAACTAAAATAGATCCCCCTGCCTCTGTTTTTCATGTGTTGGAATTAAAATCACCCAACTCATTTCCCCCCTCTTGTTCCTTAGTTTCTTATTTGCAAAATGAGATACTCGGAACTCTTGACTGACCTTCAAACCATCCCAAGGGGCCTTGGAACTGTGGGGCAAAGAAGCCTGATGAAGTGACCTTGGCTCCACCACCACACACACGGTTTTTGGTTTCTCTCATGGCACTAGCATCCCTGAGTCACTGAAGCCTTGGCCTCTGTCCTCAAGCTTCTCATACAGTCACTGAACCTGGTCAGGATCTCTGTCGACTTTCTACCTACAGCCTCCCACTGGCTCCCTCCCGGCCCAACACTGAAATCAGTTCTTACTGTTTTCAGTGAACTCACAGTTCTTCTCTTGGGCCTTTAAACCCAATCTAACAGTACTCTGAAACAGACCAATTTGTCTCCATATGCCCAATTATCTCCTGGGGTTTTTTGTTTGTTTATTTTGTTTTGTTTTTGAGACAGGGTCTCACTTTTGCTTTAGAGGTTGTCCTTGAACTGGCTCTGTAGACCCAGGCTGCCCTCAGACTCACAGAGATCCACCAGGGTTCTGGGATTAAAGGTGAGTACTACCTATACCCTGCTAGCTCCTGATTTTGACTCCAAGGTTTGGCTTGCAATTTGCAAGGTCTAGTTAGAAAATGTCCCCTGCCCCCTCCCAGGTATCCTGTTTCTCTTCTAGCCATCTTCCAATACCTCCCTCCTCCAGAAAGTGTTGGGGTGTCTTAGTGTACTCAGATTCGCCAGGGAGACCCACACTTAGACCCTGTGGGCTCAGGCAGCCTGAACTCTTGTCCCTTAGCTGTTTAGTCTCCTCAGAATCATGTTCAGCTCCAGGTTTGTGTCACTGAGACCCAGCAACTGGGGACTGGGGCAGGAGAAGGATTTCCAGTGCCAAATCCGTCTAGCTCTGTCTCATCCTGTCTCCATGTAGATAGACGGCCTTTCTCTACTTCCTGGGACAGTTTTTTGTTGTTGCTGTTTTGTTTTGTTTTTAATTTTCAGTCCTGAGGATAAAAATCAAGGCAAGCACTCACTCAACAGGGATCCACACTTCTAGGAATATGTATTATTACTTGCATACAACCTTGTACTACATACAAACATGTACATATATGTTTGTAAATGTTTATGTAAACAGATGTCCATATCAATATAGATTTTCTGAGATACAGTCTCACAGATTGGTTTTTTATTTTTCATTGTATTTGCTTATTTATTTTAATTTTTAATGTTTTCAATAGCAGTATTAACTATATGTTAATATATATGTATATTAACTATACATATTACTAACCAGTAATAATTGGTTATGTCATTATGACTTTGTCTTGTTTTTATTTGTTGTTTGTTTGTTTTTCAAGACAGGGTCTTTCTCTGTAACCTTGGCTGTCCTGGAACTCATTTTGTAGATCAGGCTGGCCTTGAATTCAAGATTAGCCTGCCTCTTCCTCCCGAGTGCTGGGATTAAGGGTATGTGCCACCACGGCCCAGTTCTTCATGACATTTTCATACATGTACACAATGGATTTTTACTGTATTTAACACACGCACAGTTACCCTTTCTGTCCTCCTTCTACTCCCACTGGTCTCTTCTCTCTCTCTCTCCCTCCCTCTCTCTCTTTCTCTCTCTCTCTGAGTGTGTGTGTCCCAAGGAACTCATCAGGGTTGTCTTCAAGGGTGTGTACTACATACACAAGAGCAGTGGAGACGCCACTGAAGAAAATGTCTGAAACAGTTATGGTACACACCTTTAACCCCAGTACTTGGGAGGCAGAGGCAGGTGGATCTCTTGAGTTTGAGGCCAGCCTGGTCTACAGAGTGATTCCCAGGACAACCAGGGGCTGCACAGGAAAACCCTGTCTCAAAAAATCACACCCCCACCCCTGCCCTGTAAAAGAAAAGAAAGTCTCGCCGTATTTGTTTATTTTAAAGTTTTTTTCATTATTTTAACTGTGTGTGTGTGTGTGTGTGTGTGTGTGTGTGTGTGTGTGGTGGGTGTGTACACATGAGTGCAGGTGCCCTCGGAGGCCAGAGGCATTTGATTCCTATGGAACTGTAATAGCTGAGCCATCTCTGTACTTTAACAGAGCCAGCCCCTGTTTTTTCTTTATTGTTGTTGTTTTGTTTTAGACAGGGTTTCTCTGTGTCCTGGAACTCACTTTGTAGACCAGGCTGGCCGGAATTCACAGAGATTCGCTTGTCTCTTCCTGCGCCCCTGTATTACTGGGATTAAAGGTGTGCCACTACCTCTTGACCTCCCTATTTTTTTAAAAAAACAAGAAATATTTCACAGATTTGCACATTGCACAGGGGCCATGCTAATCTCTGTACTATATCATTCCAATGTTAGTATTGAGTTGTTGAAAGGCAGACCATCTTTATTGTTTATTAAAATTTTTTTCATTCAATATATTCTGACCACTTTTTCCTCTCCCCCAATGCCTCCAAGATCTTTCCCACCCACCCAACTCCATGCCCTTTCTCTCTCTCTTTAAAAAACAGATAAACAACAATAACAAAAAAAGATACACATATATACACAAAAACAAAACCCATGAAAGCACAAAATCAGTAACTATAATATATAAGCAAAACACTGGCAAGACAAAAAATGCCCAGACAAAGCAATATGAGACAATAAGTCTACAAAACACCATTGAGTTTGTTTTGTGACCTGGGGCCTGCCCTAAAGTGTGGTTAATATACCCAATGCGACTTCATTGGAGAAAGCTAATTTTTCCTTTGTCAGTTGGAGATAGCTTCTTGGTTAGAGATGGGAACTCTTGTCCAGTTCTCCCTCTCAGCACTGGAACGTCATTTGGCTTGGACTTATGCAGGTGCTGTGAGTTCTACTACAGTCTGTGAGTTCTTATGTGTCAGCCTGTTGTGTCTGGAAGACACTGCTTCCCTGGTGTCATCCATCCCCACTGCTCTTACAAGCTTTCTGCCTCCTCTTCCTCATAGCTCTCTGAGCCCTGAGGCTAAGGTTTAATGGAGACATCGATTTCAGGTCACTCACTCATGTTCATTGTCCTGTTATGGGTCTCTGTGTTAGTTCTCATCTACTGCAAGAAGTTCTCTGATGATGGCTGGCAAGGATTGAGCTAAGTCCCAGCCTAGAGTGCTCCCAACTTTTTATTTTATTTTATTTTATTTTTGAGACAGG